AAAGATAAACTTGCCTTTTGCCAAGTCTCCAAGCACAAACTGGTGCTTGCCCTACTGATCACAGAGTTCCCCAGTGATGCGGTGATGCTGTACACCTGACCTACCAGCTGAGAAGCAGACACCCGCCTTTCTCCAAGGGTCACAATGGAAACCACCCTGCTAGACTCTGGTAAACTAACTTCAAGTGGGAATCCCTAGAAGAGGCCAACTGGTCTCTGTTGAGTTAAAACAAACAAACAAACAAAACAGCCTGGGATTGGGGAATGACTGTGCTTGTTCTATTGAACATTTGTAAGTAAATTTCTAAATGGAAATTAACTGCCTACCAGTTAGGTCTCCAAAACATGCGATTCAGATTCTTACAGCTCAATTATTTCACAGGGATTGTGCACAGAGAAAGCCACACACCCCTGAGGAAGGGACAAGCTGACTCTGAGACAGTATCTGTGCAGTCTCATCTCTCCATTTCTGTCCACACTGCCTGGCTTTGGACTTTCCTCTCTTTCACACTATACTTAATTGGAGTCACACTCCCTACTCACTTAGACGTTTCTCTCTAGAATTTAGCCCATCTATGAAAACCAGAACCCCCAAATTACAGAAAATTCTATTTCTCCTTCCCTTGTATCCTTACAGCTCTGCAAACACCATGGTTTTTAAATTTCCAGTTTCCTGTATTAGTTTTTTCCAAAGAGGATGAAATGGATGGGACAGTACAAATATCCCTGTCTCACTTTTTTACCCTGAAGAAAGGTTAGACCTGTTTCACTGAAGTTTGCAGTGCCAGAATACAAATGCAAAGTAGCCACAAAGAGCCACTCTGAGTACCTGGAACATTTTAAAAGTTCCTTAAACTTTTAAAGGAACTGCTGAAGTGTTCCTTACAAGTAGACTTTTAAGTCCCTCATGCCACCAGCTGCAGACACCTGGGCCGCCCATGGGTCCCACCCCTGAGGCAGAGCCGCAAAGAGGCCTAGAGCCGCCTCTAGCAGCACAGTCTCTGCCTGGGACAGCCTGGCTGACGCAGGGACCTCTGGGACCCTCAGCTGCCTGAGGATCTGGAGGTCTCACAGCTGGAGGGGAACATGCAGAAAGCATGTTGGTCCAAGTGGTCCCAGACCACTGTGGAAGGTGCTGCTCTCTGCGCCCTAAGGATGGGAAGCAAACAGTGGCAGAGAATGAAGATGTCTGATTTGGGAGGAGAAAATTTAGACAGACGTTAAGAAATCAACCTCCCTCCCCGGCACACTCCAGTCCCAGTGCTAACATGCAGGGAGGGGTACGATTAACTGAAGGCAAGTCCACATGTTAAAATGCTCTGAAACGTGTTGCTGCCTGGCTGGCAAGGGGACACAGGAATAGACTGAGAACAAACGCCCGACACAGGGAGGCTCCAGAGGAGGGAGCAGGCCCGCAGGGCCTATGTGCAGTTCACCAGGAACTGCGAGGCACAGACCCACGACCTCTGGTCCTGCCGACCAGCTCTGTGGTTTGGGGACAGTGACTTCAGCCACTCCAAGCCTCTGCTCCCTCATCTGTGAAACTGGTGTAATAAAAATGTCGACCTTCTTAAGGTTGACTGGGGATTAAAGGAAATAACTCATGTAAAGCTCTTGGCAAAAAAAGGGGCATGATAAGTTATTATTATTATACCAATTCAGAGTTGTAAATGCTTTCATTTTCTCTTACCTCTCTCTTTCATACGCAGAGTACCTACCACATAATTTAAAAATTCAGGCGGCATTTCTTAAGTAAGAGCAGAAAGGACATAAGCAGGAAGAAGAGGAAGGAGGAGGGAGGTGAGAAATCACTAAGGACCAAATATTAAGCTTGTAAGAATCTGAGCAACTTACTTGCCTTCCCTTAAGTCATATAGCCTGTGGACTGGGGAACCTGGTGATAGAGATAATGAATAAGTAAATAACTAGAGTATGTTTCAAAGAGATAAATGCTATGGGAAAAATCAGGATAAGATTAGGAATCTCTGATGGGGTGGGGTGCCACTTGAAATAGAGCGGCCAGTGCAGCTTTAGTGAAAAGGTGATTTTCAGCAATACTCTGAAGCAGGTGAGGGACTTAGTCATGGTTATATCAGTGGAAGAGCATTCCAGGCGTGGCCATGGCTCACACTGGCCGCCAGAGAATCAAAACCCTGGCCGATCAGCACAGCAGCTCCTCCGGGGCTCCAGCAGCAGGACAGAGCGGGCCAGCGGCTCCACGGCAACCCCCTGCAGAGGGGCCGAGGCCAGAGAAGCTTCCGGCGGGAGCACCAGGACTTCCACACGGGGAAGGTGACTTGATACCAGAAATGTGTGCACCACTGATAAGTCTTTCTAATCTTGTGAATTCTTCCATTCTTAAAAAAAATGCCAATAAAAACATCATGCTCCCCTATCTCAATCAGTGTGGCAAGAGGCATAATTAATCCTATATCATAGGTGAGAAATTAGACAGCTGGTTCCAGATCACGGCTCCTGAGGGGAAAAGCTGGGATTTGGATGCAGGCACTCTGCTCCTGCTTTCAGAGGAGGTTTCCCTGAATGAGCTCTAAATTCTTTCCTTAAGTTCATCTTCATGACCACCTCAGACCACGATGAAGAGGTCAGCTCTCTGCTTTCCTACCAACAAGCAGGTGATCCTGGGGGGCCTGTCAGGCAGACATTGGGGCACTACTTTTAGTACCATTTCCGGCAGGGGAGATGGACCCACCAAGTCCTGGGTTCCCAGTTCCCTGGAGACCATGCCGCCCGGCCCGCCGGATACCGGACGGATCTGCTTAGCGCTCTGACCTCTGGGGCAATAACAACTTATCCCATCTCATTCCCTGCAAACTTCTGCCCAGCTGGGTCCAAGGGCCCAGGATTCACCAAAGAACCCTGTCCACGGCAAACACTATCAATAACAATGCAACTTGGAGTTAAATATCCATTTCTTACAATATTCCCAGACTAAACCAATTAGAAAGAGAAGTTTTCTGCTTAACTTTTAAAAAGAGAATTCAGACACAAACTATGGCGTTCTTCCTCATTCCCTTTCTACCTGCTGGGGTGACACAAGATCACATTGTCTCACGCCACCCACAATGCCATCTCCTTGAGTATTTTATCCTGGGGTTCTCCAGAGAATCGAGCATTGGCCAGCACCGACTAATCTTCTGACTCAGGTCCCCAGACGCCGACCAGGAGATACCAGTGCGGGTCCCGTCTAGAAACTCAGTGTACTTCCAGAAGTACGGGAAAAGAGCGGCACCAGGGTGGGGCCTGTAGACACCAGCCATCTCCTCAGAGGCCAGAGCTCCAACCCGGAGCTGTGCATTTTACGAGCCTGCTGTTTTCTACAGCCACTACTGCAGCAACCCCTTTGGCTTAGAATTTTACAAGTTTAAAAAGGAGGGAACTAAGTTACACTATCTGGCTGTTGGACATTAGTAGGCAATCTACAACGTGAAAATGAAATCTTTAAAACAAAAGTGTCTAAAATGATACAAACTGAAATAACTCAATTTACTAAAAACATTTTTTTAATCACACTGAATGAATAAAGCCAGAGCTCCTTTACATTGCTCCTGCTAGGGAACATTGGTATAGGAAGCTAAACACACCACTGCTGCAAAGGCAATAACAGTAACAAAAATGTTACCACTTGACACGTGATGTGTCTTTAGGTTTTCAAAGCACTTTCACATTTATCATTTAATGTAATTCCATGAGACGTGAAGAGCCAACACTACTGTAACCATTTTATAACCAAAGGAACTAAGTACAAATGAAGTTCTATGATTTGTATCACAAAGCGAGCTGAGCCCAAACCAGACTCTTGTTTAGTTTGGCAGAGGACTCATTATCCGAATCAAATATTAAGAACTCTGGGGGAGAGAGGCGGGGAGGGAGAGAGAAGAAACAACAGTGGGGGGGAGGGGAGCAGGAAGGGAGGGTTCCTCCAACAGCACCTCCTCCCCCAAGACAGCTGCAGGGAACCTAGTCCGAACACCCTCGGGTTAGCCTTGGCTGCTTCCTAAGAGACATGAAGAAGTGTGTCGAGGGACAAGAGTGAGTCTCCACTACGTGCAGTCTTGCAATCTGAGGAATTCAAGTAATCTTTGGAGGTCTGTTTTGCTGTGCTTTTATAAGGAAAAAATGTTTTCTGATTAAGGAACACTAAGGAAAATAAATATCTACTGTTGAAAGTTTGTATCACTGGGCAGAGAAAAATCTTAATTTTACTCAGAGGAACTGCATTTAAACTCCTCTTTTACGTTATAACTCAACACACAAAGGCCTAAAGATAAACTTCAGCACGTCCTATACAGGCACACCTTGTTTTATTGTGCTTGTTAGCCCTACTGTACCTCAAAGACACTGCATTCTTTAGAAACTGAATGTCTGTGGCAACCCTGAATTGTCAGATGATGGTTAGCATTTTTTAGCAATCAAGGTTTTTTTAGGTAAGGTATGTATGTCTCTTTTAGACATAATGCTGTTGCACACTTAAAAGACTACATTACAGTGTCTATACTATAGGGTAAACATAACTTTTATGTGTGCACTGGGAAATAACAAAATTTGTGTGATTCGCCTTATTGCAATATTATTCTTATTGTGCTGGTCTGGAACCCTAACCCACAATATCTCTGAGGTCTGCCTGTATTTCTTTAGGGGACAAAAGAAGGATGAGAGACAGTCCTCCCGTGACACCAGATTGAGTGACAGCAAATGACAAGGCACAGATCATCACAGGTGTGACCAGTGGGATAGAGGTACCTCTAAAACCACACCATGCTGAGGTAGGGTGGAAACCTACACTTCAGCTGCAGACAGGGAAAACAGATCCGCTGGAAACAGTGATAGGCATTGCCATTTGAGCTTCTCAACCAGGGAACTTTAAAATCAGGGGATGATTTTGACTTGAGATCTCACTTCACCTCTTCTTCCACCAAATGTGCTTTTGCTACAGATGAAACTCGAGCCAGGATCTAGCTTTACGTTGCGGGTGGGCCTTACCTTCGTGTCTGCTGGGAGAATCGCAGGCTTTCTGCGGGGTGGCCACTCGAAGGAAGATCTGCTGCCTCCATGAGTGTCTCCGTGTCTTTACGGGGGTCCCGCTGGCGTCACCAAGATGGCTGGCTTTGGACTCAAAGTCCCTAAAATTACAAGACAATTGATTTATGACTGGTGAGGAGATACAAGCAGGTATTTTAGCTTGACTTTTTGTTGTTTTTTAAACAGAGCACTAAATTATAAATTATCTTTGTACCAGCAAACATAACTAGATAATCACAGGCATCAAATCAAACTCGCAGTGGGGCAACACCCCCATAGGACTGCTTTCTGACAGGGTGCTTTTTATGGAAAGAGTCAGGTTACATGTCCTTAATTTATTTTCATGGTAAAAGATATTAAGAACTACACTCCATGGATCTTGGCTTCCAACTGGGCCTCTCTTGGTGCCACTTCAGAAAAGAGAAACGGCCTAAATGGGGCGCTGTCACCCAGGCCACAATCTCCCCTAGTCTGTGTGAGGGGAGATTTTCTTAGCATAGGCCTGCATATCCAAGGATCATCACAAAAAAAGAAAAACGAAAAAAGAAAAACGTTAAATTACACAGAACCAGCAAGGGCAATAATTATGCAGTCACTTGCTAATAATGACTTTTAACATCTGTATGTTTTAAACTGCGAAATATAGTTTTCAATATACATAAACACAATCACTAATTTCCTTTCTATTCACGGGACAACTTGGGGAACCCCTTGTAACTTACACCTGAATATATACCAACAACTGAACAATCATCTGAACTTAGAGATCAAACATCCTGACTGATTTACTGGCAGCCATATATGCTCATTATCCAGAAACACTTCTATCACTTAGAGACAATGGTTAAGACTTTCTTTAATTTGCTGAAAATAACAATATATTAATAAACTAATCCTAGTCAAAACTGGATAGCAGGTTGACTCCACATTTTTTTAAATCACATCATCAGCAAGAAAAATTATAAGAAAGAAGATACAATAGATCTAGCAAAAATGATTTTTTAAATGGCAAAAGTACAGATGAAAAATCCCTATATGTCTAACAATCAACACTTCTACCCAGACTTGATATATCTAAATTAAACTCTACCTTTTTGTGTTCATAAAGTCAGAGGTGTTATTTTCATCTACAGGAGCCAGAAATTTTAGAAAATTTGGCACAGAGGAAGAAGAATGAAGTTTTTTCCGCAGGGCATTACGGTAGGAGATGCTGAGAGCGTGGTTGAAAAAAAGAGTTTAGGATAAAGAAACACAAACACACAAAGCATAAAACATAACCTTCAAAACAGAAGAAACATTTTACAGTTCTAAGGCTAAGAAAATTAAAGTGGGTAAGAAATCAAAAATAGTTTACAAATGAGATTTAACTTTCATTTCAGTCAATAAAATTCTATTATTTTAAATGAATGGAATCAATGAACTAATTAACAAACATCAGTCCAGTTACATAAGATGAATAAATTCTAAAGATGTGCTGTGCAACATTGTGCCTACAGTTACAACACTCTGCCCATAGTTAGTAATACTGTGAACACGCAAAATATGTGTTGAGAGGGTAAATCTCATGTTAAGCGTTCTGACCAAAATAAAAACAAAACCACAACAATAAAAAATTCAGTCCATCATCCAAAATGACTCCTTCCTTCCAAAGCAGAAAAATAATTTTCCTAAATTAATGAGGAAGTTTCTGATATGGCACAAATCGCAATGTATATGATCAAACACATTGCTGTTAACGTGTGTGTGTGTGTGTGTGTGTGTGTGTGTGTACACTAGGGCAGGGGTATGTGAAAATAAGTGTATAAAAAATAATTTGCCATCAAGACCGTTTTCATAATAATTTTGAGGGAATTAATCAACAGTAAAATTAATTAGATTCAAATGACAGACTGAAAATAGGAAAACCAAACCAGACAAGCACGCACACACACACACACACACATATACACACACACACACACAGCGGTGGCCCCGGGGTCCTTGTGTGGACATTCAGCACACTCTCTCTGTGTGAGCATCCCAGGAAGACGAACGACACTGAACTTGCCGTGCGGGTGGCTCACCTCTTTGGCACGGCATTGCCACTCTGTTCTCCACTTGGGTTATGTTTGAGGTACTTAAAGAAATTGGGCGAGGAGGCGGAGGGGGTAAGACGAGGTGGAGGAGCAGCTGAGGACTGACCTGAGCCACCTTCAGACTCGCTGACAGGGGGACGATTCCCACTAAATAGCAATTAGAGAGAAAGCAGGGGAGTTAGAGTAAAAGGCGGGCACGGAACCGCGCAGGAAACGCAGAGGACACACGGAGGAAACAGGAACTGCCACAGTTAGAGGGTGCTCTCCTCTTCTGCGCCCCAAT